CTGGAAACTGAGGGTGACATTGTTTGGGCCACCTCTGCTTAATTTGGGGATTAAAAGGCGTGAAGTTAGAAGAAATAGAACGAAATCAAGGCACTGTAGTACATAACATACATACAAAATGACAATCACACCCCATTTAGGTGTAAAGTTCTCATCACTACAAATTAATCAAGCCCAAACACCAGGTAGCTGCTGTTAAACGTTGAGGAGTTCCCTTAGGTAGCTGGCATACTACTTCATTCATCAGTTCATCCGTCCCCTAATGACAATTACATCTAGATGTAAAGATCTTCTCAATACAAATAATTTAAGCCCATACACGAGGACATTGCTACAAATTCTCGAGGAGTTCCCTCGGCTGTCTCTTGACTCCATCATCAGATCAACTCCATACCTACCTTCATCGAATTGTAGTAGTTTCAAATACTATATTAAACTGTCAAACACCAAGCGGTCACCGGTGACCGCAACCTATTGTTCTATAATTGTGTCTACAAAACCGGTACTCGACGAGTTAAAAAACGCTCTCGTCACCCATACAATTTTGAAGAGTTCCCCTCGGTTTCCATGTGATCCCATCATCAGATCCTGACCTGGTGGAAATTGGACCACCCCGAGAGTATCACCTTTCCAACAAAAAAAGAATCCTCAAAATCCGTCCACAAACGCCGGAGTAATCGCGTAACATCCTCCTCCTTTTTGGGAAGTCGGTTAAAAAGCAACGTTTATATCATCAAAAAAGCAAAGCGAGCCGGAGCAGCCTACCGCCCCCGCCACCCCGCCCCCGCAGCTATGCCATGAAAGAAGACTGAAGGGATCAGGATGAAATATGGAACAGGAGTAGATCATGCTCTGGAGTAACACATAGGCCCCACACCCCACGGACACGCGGACAGAGGCTAGTATTGAAGAAAGTCGTGCTAGTTACAATAATCCTACGGGGACGGGAAAAGGGGATTGCGCGTACAAAGTCGCGGGCAGAAGCTAGTCTCATAGTTGTATAAATGTAATTGAATGTCTCGTCGGCACGTCCTCCTCCGCGACTCCCCCAGGAGGAGCACCTGTTCAGCGTGTCGTTCCGCAAGTACGGGCGCTCGCTGCACGCGCGCATCGAGCACTACCAGCACCGGTTCAGCTTCGACTCCCACGACCCCGCCGTCTTCGCCGCCTCCACCGTCACCAAACTCATCGAGCATTACAAGGTTAGCTCTTCTATTTAAGTAACCTAAAAGTAAATGTAAGTACGTAGTTAGTAATGAATGTACGTCCCCAGGACCCGGCGTGTGTGATGTTCTTCGAGCCGATGCTGACAGCTCCACTGCCGCGCAGCGAGCCATTCTCTCTGCAGCAACTCGCGCGGGCTGTCATCGTCTCGCATACTAGTTACGACGGTAAATACTCGAGCGACTATTTTATAAAATACGTAACCAACATGAACAAAATTATTGATATTGCAATGTTCTACCAGTTCCACCCTTCAAAAGTACAGAACCTACACACTAGAACACTATACTATTAGTAAGGTAACCAACATTAACCAATTTTCTGTCCCCCCCACAGGAGTGGAGAAGCTCCCCCTCCCGCCCCGTTTACGACTATACCTCAAAGAGTACCACTACAGACAAAGGGTCCGCATTCGACGCCTGGAACCGGACTTGTACGAGCACCATCACTGCTAGCACCCGTTAGTATATACACCGTCATATTATTATGTTATATGTATATAACACTCTGGGTTATTTTATAAAATTAGGTATGTACGTGTCACAAACCTATTTTGAACCTTATCTCTATTGAAATAGGTGTTAAAATCTTTTTATTTGCACCATCGGGTGTATAAAAGTGACAAGATAGCTTCAGTTTGAAATGACAGGTTTATATTTAAATAATTACGTAATATTACTGTACAAGTACCCTCAACCGACGCGCATGCGTGGAAAGACTGATTACTGTTGAGGAAGCGAAAGAGGTATGTAGGAATCGTAGCGATTGGGCGCTTTCCTTAATCAAAAATGAAATATTTCGAAAATATTGAAAAATAATCACACTTTCATTAATTGATTTTCTGACCAACTTAATTATAGTATTTTTCCAGAAAATTTTTAAGACATCATTGTGCTGTTTGACGTCACAATACACAATCTCGTACAAAATTCATAGAAAACTGTCGTTCTGACTAGTTGACAAGTACCCAATTGGCGTAGTCTCTGCCTACCCCCATGCTATTGCTGTAACCAAAATCGATCACAAACCTCTATAATGTATCGCATTCTTAAGCTTTCGTTTCGATGAAATTCAACTTAACTGCCCAGTCCCCGAGCGGTCTCCGGTGACCGCTCCCTACTTACTCCATTATAGACCTTATTGCCGATGTTCAGAGACTACTTTTGTATCGACAAATGTTGTGGATTTTTCATAATCGCGGATGTAACTGTTAAGATACGTGAAGGTATTCAATATCCGAACCGTAATGGATTTTAGAAACTGATAATGCTTTTATAAACTACAATAAAGGCGACCTCTATTTATAAAGTTGTCAATTAATATACTAATACTTCCTCCTCAGTGTAACTAACACTTCGCGTCAAAATCGGTTCAGCCAATCGCGAGACAATCGTACACAGACAGGTCACACTGAGAACCCCTTTTTGTTTCTTTTTGAAGTCTGTTATAAATGTATCGATAAATTTATTTAAATACCCTGTTATTTCAAACTCTAGATTAAAAAAAAATCTCTTTACAATAAATGTCCTACAAAATTGTATCTCAAACCGGGAATGAACTCGGTACAAAACGGATTTGATGGTTCAAACCTCTATAGGGGTTGTTATAGTGAAATCACTAAATGAATAATGCCTTGTTATATTAATTAATGTAATGTAATCTAGGGTTAAAATAAAATAATATAAAATTAAAGAAGAAAATGTATATTTTTTGGTAAGACGGACATGTTTTTTATATTCATTAATCTGTTTGTATTAAACCTTTCATACTACATTAATTATTATGTTTTCGAGGAACTCGACTAGTTGCGAACCACGCTAGAGGCTCATATGAATCACGGCAGAGGGCGCGCTGGGCACGCCCCGCAGACTCGAGTAGCCAGTACAGCATTCTGCTCATGAATATGAGCTTCCAGCATGGCTCGGAACTAGTCGAGTTCGTCAAACAGTTGCGTGAATATAAAGTAGAATAATTAATTCATTTCAGTTGTCAGTCGGTGTTATCGAGTTATTTCTTTGCTCACCACAGTTGGTGTAAACAGTCGTATAGATGTCCGCGTCAATGTTTCAATTACTGCTTGAACCAGGAATGGAACCTAGAGAGCGCCCTAGGTGAGACCTCGTAGGCGCCCCTAACTAGTTTTGGCGCCACCGTCACTCGCAGTCGACCGCGGCGCCCTCTGTATCCTGGGCCCGGCACTTGTCTAGTTAGCCTCAGGGATAATACAACTGCCGAAACGTCTTTCTAGTGCATCTAGAATGACCTGGAGTGTTGTCTCAAAGTACTATCGTGATATTTGTCTGCCTGGATTATAGAAGAGACAGAATGAAATAGCATTGCTTTTACAATTGGCGACCTTTCCAAAGGAAGCGTTATTTGCCATTCATATTTCTACATAATATATATATAGAAGGCAGTATACCAAAATATCTTGAAACATGGTGACCGCTCTCCATTGACTCCAATATAGACCTTATTCCCGATGCTTAGAGACTACTTTTGTACCAACACGCATGTACTAGGTCGACCTGTACCGGACTATGTAACACAATCTAAGAATCTGAATTACACACACTTGTAATTGTTGTATCGTCGTGAAACTCGGCAGTTGTATGTAGATTAGACGACAATACAATATTATGGTGCCGTCGAGCTGGTTTGACCTGGTCTGGAAGGCCCAATCCTCCCCCATCCTGAAATCCCTAATTCCCCAACGTACTTGTAACTCTTCCAGTGTCCCGGGTGTCCATGGGCGACACCGATTGCTTACCATCAGGTGATCCGTCTGCTCGTTGGTCCTATACTATAAAAATATATGGCTTTCAGTATATCTTGTGCTGCCGTCTTATGTACTACTTCTGCTGAATACAGTGTTTTATGTATAATTCAAAGTGTACATTCGTATGGAGAAGAACGAGCAAGAAACTCCATCGTCGACTCTTTCGATTTAGAATAACGTCTTCACTGTATTCAGTAAAACAAAGTACCTATTAGACAATTTACAAAAATAATGTCTGAAGTTAATGATAAATATCATGGCAATGTTACATGCATGCGCCTAGCCCTACTCTTCCCGCGGGTGTCGTATACCCGACTGAGGGATTTCATGTTTGACGACCCACCAGCCAGACGTGGAAGGTCCCAGTATAAAAGGTTCAGGTTTATCAGAGAGCGCAGCTGCCCGGTCTCTGTCTAATGTGTAGTGCCTTAGTCGGGTATACAATACCCGCGGGAAGTGTAGCGGTGGTGATAAAATGGTTTGATCTATAATATTGATGCGCGTAATGTTGTCATTAGAAGTTAAAAAGTCGGTTTTATATTTAATTCTTATTATTATTTATAAATCATGTGTTTTATAGTATCTTGATATTAATACGAGACACACATACATACATTGTTATATTAAATGTTATTACACTTATATAAACTCAGGTGTTTTATAAATAAAATTATTTATTTCTACACAAAAATGAAATTTTGAAATTACTCCGTTTTTATTTGATTACATTTTTGTATATAAATTACGAGAGATATGTAGTTTATGTTAATATTAATATCAAAATATTGTACTATTAATAATTATTATATTACGTTCTATTACTGTACATTGTAAATTACTGTAATATAGATTATAAATAAATATAATAAAATATTAATTTTAAGTTTTCGAGGAGGCAATCGGTGTGAGCAATTTGTTGTCTGGAGAAATGGTACCTATTTATTCCATAAAAGGACTCGACAATGTCAACTATATCACACGAAGAACTCAAACACATTGTTTTATACCACGACGGGGGCAAGAGAAGCCCACGACACCTGAGGGTAAGTGGTTACCGTGGCCTATGTACGCCTGCGACACTTGGGGCATTACATGCGTCTTGCCGACACTTAATAAACCTATTCACTTCTTTCTTGAAGAACCCCATGTTGTAGCCCATCGGGAAAACCTCGGCAGGGAGTTCATTCCACAAGCGGAGGGTCCGTGGGAGGAAATTCCTCTGAAACCTTCCTTAAAAAATATAGTTTATTCTTAAAACCCACTGACGCAGTGTAATAAGGGCCGATGTTTCCAAGACCAGATAAATTTAAACTAAAATAATAAAACAGTTTATTTCAAATCCAACAGGCATTAGATAAAGTTATTGGAGATCCCCTTCCAAGCAATAGATTGCTCGTGCTAGGAGACTCCGCACTTCCACACGACATTGTAAGTGAATGAAGTTACAATGTCGGTAATGTAAACACGCGACACTAACGACACAACGACATGAAAGTAAATCAACTTCAACTTGTAATTCTAATCGCTCAGGCAATGAATGAGCATAATTATTTCAAACTAGCTTTTACCCGCGGCTTCGCTCGCGTCACAAAAAGATAAGAAGTGTCCTATGTGACATATACCTATCCACACAGCGCCATCTATACTAATATTGTTGTTTTCCCTCGGGAATATCAATTTTTCCAGGCTAAAAAGTACCCTTTTAATTAATCCGGACTTCTAACTTTCCTTCAGCAAAAATTCAAAGCAATCGGTTAAGTAGTTACGGCGTGAAAGCGGAACAAACAAACAAACAAACTCATTTTCTGATTTATAATATCACAAGTAAGGAAGTAAGGATTAAAAAACAGTTATTGTGCAAATACCAGATCGCACAATTTAACTGAGATAACTGAATATTTGACAATTCTTCCGTACTTAACTGTCGAATGTCAATTTTGTTGTACAGTTAAGAATTAACTGAAGATTGAAAACTCGGTCCTTATCGAGTTAAGCAAATGTTCTTGTTTCATATAAGTTGAACTGATATTAACGCAGTGGTCTTACTAAAGTTATAAATCCCACGGGGAAGCAAGCGACGCCTTTGGAAATAGCTAGTGTATCTGGAAGTACCTGATATACTAGTGTCAGGATAGTTGGAATGATCATTGATGGAACACAGTCGTTCGCACCGATTGCCTCGTCAGGTAAAAGTTATGACAAACGTATTATTAGCACTCTGTGCGTACAAAGATAATGAAATATATAAAATAAATATATTTTAAAATACACTCGCTTTGGTTTCATTCTTCAAAGTTTCAGATATCGTCCCGTTATTTCCGTCATTTTCCCTTTATTCGTCTTTGGTCGTGGAGGTAAGTATTATAAAGGTAAATAAATTAAAGCCATTACAATAACAATAACCGACTTTATTTGGAATAACTACCACCTCGTACACACAGTTGTGATTACACTACAGTTACACGTACATACACACTCGTTACATAGTATTAATATATGGAATCTACTGGAAACTGAGGGCGACATTGTTTGGGCCACCTCTGCTTAATTTGGGGATTAAAAGGCGTGAAGTTAGAAGAAATAGAATGAAATCAAGGCACTGTAGTACATAACATACATACAAACAAATATCAAATGTATAGAAACAAAAGAGATACTAGCTGTTGCCCGCGACTTCGTCCGCGTACAATATGAATTTTAGTACATAACTTTTGTTTCAATTTTCCAAAATAAAAGTATCCTATGTTACTCCTTGGTACACCATGCGACGAGATCGCATCGTTCAATCGTACGATGGATAGCCAAATAGGACGCCTGAAACCTTATCCTAAGTGTAACTAACACTTTCGTGAACACCGCATCAAAATCGGTCCAGCCAATCGCGAGATATAATATACATACAGGTCAAACTGGGAACCAACTTTTTTGGTTTTAAATTCTGTTAGAAATGAAAGGAAACTTGTGTTAGTTTTAACATTATTTAATAGATATTACATTTATATAAATATAAATTATTTTAACAAGGAATTAAAGTACAGCAGTTCAATAATTTGAAGCCATTATAGTCTTTTGGCCAATTAGGCAGACACTGAGTGTTACCTAGCTCCGTTATGACAGTTTTGAACAACAAGATTATTCAATATGCAGGTCTGTAGAGAATAAATAAACACTGATTCAGTACAGAGACAGTAGCTACCTTAATAATATTATAAATGCGAAAGTTTGTGTGTTTGTCATTCAACCACGTCAAAACGGCTGAAGGGTTCGGGATGAAATTTGAAACAGGTATATACTATGCTCTGGAATAACACATAGGCTACGTTTCATCCCACAGACATGCGGGCAGAGGCTAGTATAAAAGGGATTTCGTCCGAGGATTTAAGGAATATCCCACGGGAACGGAAAAAGAGGATTGCTGGTACAAAATCGTGGGAAAAAGCTAGTTAATAATTATATATGCTTTTTTATTATCATCAGTTTATAAATGGCCTCTGCTGACCAAATACCTCTTCTCACACGGAGAAGGTTTGAGCATTACTCACCACGCTTGCTCAATGCGGGTTGGCGATTACAAACTTATAATTAGAAATTGTAAGCCCAGGTTTCCTCGCGATGTTTTCCTTCACCGTTTGTCAGTGGTGTCTGAATAATCTTAGAAAGTACATATAACTCGGAAAGTCATGGTACTTGCTAGGTCAAGCAATCATTGGTCGGCTCTAGACAACCAATGGTTACTGTCTCTATACTGAATCAATTTGTATTTCCTAAATAACTCGGCCGACTGACATGTTCTATTGCATTCCATTTAACAAATGCATATCTTTTTTAAAATGTTAACAATTTAACTAAATTCAAGTGTCCAGTAAACCTAGGTTCCACTAATTAAAACCTAAAAATGATATGTTCATATACAGAATATTTCTAAAACTGTTTCAATCAAACTATTGCATGTTCCCCTAATATATCTGAAAAACCATATTTGTTTAATTCACCACACAGTTATATGACATAACAGTTTTAAAAACACCCTGTATATGGAAAATAAAAATGGAAACACTATGTGAGTAACATAGTACCTTATCAAACACAGTAACTGACAGTATGTCACTCAAAAACAACCTTCATAACTAAAGCATACAGTTTAAAATCGTTCATACTAAGCAAGGGTTTTGGCTGTAAACTATCGCTGTCTCTCTCTTTCATAGGGACAAGAAAAAGACAGCAATACACCTACATAGACTACAGTCTTAACATTATCAGTAGCAATTAAGTCCAAAATCGGTGTTAAATTAAAATCAACTTTATTTTATAGTTTTACAGTTCATAATATGGTAGCTTGACAGTGACCCTCGCTACCATCACTTGACTGGACAATCTCTACACTACACAAGTCACTGTTTACATGTTACCATTAGTTCATTTTCATTCACATAATATAATTTGGTATAATTTCGTTTGATATAATTATACTTTCGTATAATTTGTTTTGGCATAATACTATTAAAATCCAATCTAATGTTCCTATTAGCTCAATCACCGATATTATATGAATTAAAATTATACCAAAATATATTTACTACACCAAAACCATAGCTATCTTTGGCATAATTGTTTTTGGTATTTATCTACTATTAAATATTATGCCAAAACCGTTAACCACAGCATTATTATACCAAAAATAATTATGCCAAAGGGGCCTTTCAAATATTACGTACGCAGATTTTTTACAATATCTACCCCCATCCCCCTTGTCAGCAAAAGTAAGCAAAGATCTTACCCCTCCCCCTTTGCTTACGTAAACATTTTAAATTATATTTTATATTGTAATTTTAATATTCTCTTAGATACCATTATGTCTAGTTCTTTGTCGGTCTTTGCTTGTAATTTATAATTTCAATATGAGGGTTGGCATTCGTGTAAAAATTAAATAACTACCGCGATGTAATCATCATCTAGACTCCCATACCCCCCATATCATCTAAAATAAGCAAAACAGAGACCCCCACCCCCCCTATAGTGCTTAGGCTTACGTAATACTTGAACGGCCCCAAAGAACTTTTATAGCAAAATCAATTATACCAAATTCACATTATAGCTCAACCAATTATATCAACACACACTACCATCAGTTGACCGGACTATGTACATCTATCGCGCGAATACACAAAAGCTACTCAGTTTTAAGTTGTACTTAAATATTGGTACCTACTCAGCAGCCAACATGGAAGTAATTAATCATTATAAGATGGATGACGAGGATCAAATCACAGACGCTTGCCTCAAACTTCCAAACGAAACCAAAATAAGATGTTATTGTTTTTATAATAACTATCGTGAGACATACTAAATTAACTAAAAATCGCCGTGTGCATCAACGTCGTCCGGCGCGCCGCCCGGACGTTGGAAGCAAACGCTCGTAGTGTCCGGCAGGGGGCGCGGCCGGGTACATGCGCCAGTACCAACACCGAGGGGAGCGCCAACGCTCGCAGTAGGTTGCGCGACTGCGCACGCGACCTCTCATGAGGAAGAACCCCTCTGTGGTTCGAAACTAGTAGAGCTTTTCCCAGTATATTCACGTGAGTAACCCGCGATTTTTAGATAATAAAGATGCCCGGATGCTGGGTCTAAGGGGACAAATAGCCGTCGCGGAACCTAACGGGTTACCGGTGCTCGGCCTCGACGTGCAGGAGAAGGAATGGGGTGGTTTTTAGTCAGTAAGAGTCTGACACTCCCTCCCGCCTCACCCAGGCGGGAGCAGTCATTAGATAATGTTTCCCCCCTTAAAAAAAGGGGGGACAAACAGCAACACCCTCCCAGCCCAGTCCATCCAGTGGCACCACTCCCCATGCCACCTCCGCTGGTGAGCTTGGACAAATGTTAATATTAATATCATGCCATCGCTGTCATTTTACAGAACTATTCTTAAACTATCATACACCAAGCGGTCACCGGTGACCGCAACCTATTGTTCTATAATTGTGTCTACAAAACCGGTACTCGACGAGTTAAGCACAACTTATAAATGAGTGGCTTTTGAGTATTTCAGCTTAAGCTACCTATAGTCAACCAAGTTATTTAGTATTCAGGTAAGAAAATAAACATTGATTCAGTACAGAGACATATTCGGTTCGATTCTTGGGTCAGGCAAAGTATTACTGGGTTTAAAAAAAAATCTCAGTAGTAGGGTCTGGAATTGTACCCGGTATATGGCAATAGGCTCATTCCCTATTATTTGTGACTCATAACATCAATAGTGAAAAGTGGGTGTTACTTCTGTGTGCACCTCTGGTTCCACCACCAGATTCGCCCGTTTCCGTGGGATAAAAAGTAGAATGTGTCATTTCAGACCATAATCTCACATATTTTCACATTTATAATATCGGTTTAAGCTAATTTCAACCATCGGCCCTACAGTTACAGCGTAAAGTACACTGCAGGCAACCTAACATTCGACAAACATATATTTGCATTTGGTACAGTAACTGTGTCTAGGGAACGAGCCGCACAATTAAGTTGGTTTTTCGTGTATTTTCCTTTTTGGGATAAAATGTACCCAGTATTGTGGCCTGGATATTAAAGTATAATCATACAAAGTTTCATCGTAAACGGACCGGTAGTTTTTGCGTGATGCATGAACATAGAGACAGACAAACAAAAATTTCATTAGTCACATTTTTAGGTTCGGTATCCATCTAGTGACACTACTATTTTTTTTATATTTTCAATGTACAGAATTTACACTTCTACAGTATTATTAAATATTTTTTTTATGGGTAGAAAGTCACCGAATGGCTACTCCCGCCTGGGTGAGGCGGGAGGGAGTGTCAGACTCTTACTGACTAAAAACCACCCCGTTCCTTCTCCTGCACGTCGAGTCGGAGCCTCGGTTAGCCGTTGGGTTCTCCGCGACTTTATTATATGTATAGATTGTATGATTTGTAACGAAGCCATATCTTTTGTGAATCAGTCGTCTCTAGATAACCAATGGCTACTGTCTCTGTACTGAACCAATCATTATTCTTCACCTGCATACTATATAACTAGGCTGGCTGAACATACATGTATAATATAATTATATATATGTATGCAATCACTTGGCGACGCCTACTAGGGCCGGTCTGACGCATCGCTCGTGTAGTTTGTAGCCGACCTTACTGACTGCCACCACTGTGCCTGGTTCTGCTCCTTCTACCTCCTGAAAAGAAAATGAATTAGAATTAACAAATAAGTCTTTATTAAGCCTTGCATCTCAAGCATGTGGGTTCGAACCTGGTAAGTACCAATGTGATTTGACTTTTCCGAGGTACCGTTAACCATACAGTAGAAGGCCTCCTGTAACGGAGTGGAGACGGAGGCGGAGGCGATGAGTTTTGCCACCGCGGATGAGGAAGTTAACGGAGGCGGATGCGGAAGCGATGAGTTTTGCCACCGCGGATGCGGAGGTTAACGGAGGCGGATGAGGAAGCGATGAGTTTTGCCACCGCGGATGCGGAGGTTAACGGAGGCGGATGCGATGAGTTTTGCCACCGCGGATGCGGAGGTTAACGGAGGCGGATGAGGAAGCGATGAGTTTTGCCACCGCGGATGCGGAGGTTAACGGAGGCGGATGCGATGAGTTTTGCCACCGCGGATGCGGAGGTTAACGGAGGCGGATGAGGAAGCGATGAGTTTTGCCACCGCGGATGCGGAGGTTAACGGAGGCGGATGCGATGAGTTTTGCCACCGCGGATGAGGAAGTTAACGGAGGCGGATGCGGAAGCGATGGTCTTAGCCACCGCGGATGCGGGGGTTAACGGAGGCGGATGCGGACGCGATGATCTTAGCCACCGCGGATGCGGGGGTTAACGGAGGCGGATGCGGACGCGATGATCTTAGCCACCGCGGATGCGGGGGTTAACGGAGGCGGATGCGGAAGCGATGATCTTAGCCACCGCGAATGCGGGGGTTAACGGAGGCGGACGCGATGATCTTAGCCACCGCGGATGCGCAGGTTAACGGAGGCGGATGAGGAAGCGATGATCTTAGCCACCGCGGATGCGCAGGTTAACGGAGGCGGATGAGGAAGCGATGATCTTAGCCACCGCGGATGCGGGGGTTAACGGAGGCGGATGCGATGAGTTTTGCCTCCACGGATGCGGAGGTAAAAGTGAATATAGAAAAATATTCACTTATGGTATATAAAAAAGTAGAAAGTTTCTACATAAGGTATGTGGGATTTGCACCTCACTAAGCCAGCTCAATATATGATAGTCATACTTTTTTTAAGGGGGAGAAATCATCGAATAACTTTTCCAACCTGAACTCACTACTGGGTACAATGAATAGCAACTATTTTTTGATTAAAGTCGAATTAGGTTTCGTAGAATTAAGTAAAAGAGTATTATTTTATCAACATTTATCTATAGGATTCCGAAATATTTACCTGCTGGAATAGCGCTTCATGTAGGTTGGGGTCGAACTTCTCTCGCAGCGGTGACACCGACACCAGTCCGTGTCTACTGAACACCTGCAAATACAATCATTAGATATAAGTCATTGTTAAGACATGAGCATCTACATACGGTTGATTGAACTATTGGCGCGGTGGCTAGGCAACTGGCTGCCGCGCAACGTGTGGCGGGTTCGATTCCCGCACCGAACAACTCTTTGTGTGATCAAAATGTAGATTCCTATGGAGAGGAACGAGTAAGAAACTTCATAAAGCTCTAGCCCTTTTTTATTGTTGACGGGAGGATACCTTCAAAAGGTGCCTAGCTTTTTGGGGAAAAAAGACTAGGGAGTGTGGGTGGTCACCATCTGCACTTGAAGGAGACACCGGGTCCTCTTAGTAGACCAACTCCGGAGACCCCACGATGCATCGCCTGTTACGGCACCTCCCTATGGAGACCTATGTGTCTACCTAGAGCCTTTCTGTGCAGTGCACAAAAGCCCTTAGCCTTAGAGTCTTTTTTATTAAGGGGGGAAAATCATCGAATGTCTGCTCCCGCCTGAGTGAGGCGGAAGGGAGTGTCAGACTCTTACTGACTAAAACCTACCCCGTTCCTTCTCCTGCACGTCGAGCCGGAGCCCCGGTTGCCCGTTAGGTTCTCCGCGACAATATATGAATGATATCCCTGGCAAGGCCAGTACCTGTGTGAGCTGCGCGCGAGTGAGTCGCACGCCGTCGTGCAGCGAGCGCAGCGCGGCGGCGGCGCCCGCCTCCGTGGCCGCCGCGCCGCCCTCCGACACCTCGCGCTCCGGCACGCTCTCCGCGGCCGCCGCCAGCGTGTCCGCCACCTGGACCATCCAATGTTACATAGGTATGCTATACTAGTACTTTTTTCTTAGGCTCACCCCCTATTACATGGGACTCATAACATAAATAGCAAAAGTGGGTGTTACATTGTACAGTGGCATTAAGTGTCCAAATGTGCACCTCTGCCTACCTTCAGGGATAAAAAGGCGTGATATTATGTTACTTTTTTCTTCTCCTCTTTTAATATCTTCTGATTCACTTCGTTCCGGGAACCAAGACAGTTACTCATGTCCCTGAGACGCGCCGGACTTCAGTGTTCCGGTGTTTTCATGGTTGTATCTACTGTAGATCCTAGTGCACAGGAGAGAAACCTCAATAATATTTAAGAGAAAAAGGAGATCATATATGTATCAGTTGCACTTAGAACTACAGTAATGAGGACGACATTAACAAAGTATTTAACTAACTAGTTCGTTCCAATTTGAATCCTTTTACACCTCACATAAGGCTCTAATTGCCCAAGGTACTTACATCTAGCAAGTCCTTGCAGAAGCTCTGTATAGCGAATGACTTGGCGTCTTCCACCTGCTTCATCATGCGACGTCTGACATTCTCTCCGTCGGCTAGCGCACGCTTGTACTTGTCCTGAAATTGCACCATCATCATGTGAATTCGCTACTGCCGAACATAGGCCGCCCCCAATTAGTTCCAGTTGAAATTAAGGAGTTCCACACTGTCACATAGCCAGCCCAGTGTATTAGCAAACTGAAGGAGCAGTGTTTTCAAAACTCAGCGATATTGTTCGAAGAACAATTTCTAACGTCTGGGCTATTTATTTTGGGCACAGCAGTTTGAGAGAGCCATGCTTCGGCATAAATGGGCCGGAGTGAAGATTACCCCCCTCCCCAATCCCCGAATCCCCCACACTCCTCAAATTCCCTATTCCCAAAAGGCCAGTAACGCAGTTGTAACGTCTTGGTGTTTCAAGTATCGATGGGCGGCGCCGATTGCTTACCATCAGGTGATCCGTCTGCTCGTTTACCGGCTTATGCCATAAAAAAAATAGCCATACAAAACTGATACCTAATCAAGAGAAACTATCTGAATCCAATAAAAAGCCAATTCTCACTTCGTAATCTCTGGCTTGAGTCCGTAGTGTGGTGAGGTCGCTGGTGAGAGTCTCAATCTGCTTGTGGCACTCCTCGATGGAGCCGGGCAGCTTGTTATCTGCTTCCGGCTCAGCTTTGCTCTTTTCTTCTGTGCTGTAACCTTGAGCTGTGCTTCTGGAAACAGAGTGAAGACTTTTTAATTGACTTCATCCTTTTAACACTAGAAAGACCAAGGCAGTCAAATTGACCGCAAGGCAATTTCATTGTTAAATATTTTGCAAACTATGTTTTAGTTCCTTTTAATATTTTATGACTTTTCCTAATTTGCTATTCTAAGGCTTAATCTATATTTATAAAAAAATAACTATATGTTGTATTTGAGTTTCGATTACAAATACCTACTAAGACCGCGCACCGTCAATGTGACGGTATACATATAAAGACAGCGATAAGAATAGTGAACAACGATCTCTTCAAACTAAAGTGGGTACTTTTGTTTTTATTTATGTTGGGTTGAATTCTGACTAATTTATTAGTACCTAACTTGTTTACATTTTATATTAGGCATTGGTTCCGTTCGCTGAGCAGTCGTGTGGCAAGTGACGGCACAGAAAGGACTTTTGTTTCTCCAAACGCCAGTGAAGAGGGACGTCGTAGCTAGGGCCAAAACGTAACCTCTGACAACTTTTTCACATCACTAAATTCGGCTAAAACACTATTGGTCGAAGACTAGTATTGTTGGAACAATGCGGCGTGCAAGACGAGAAGTACCACTGATTTGTAGAGGTATTCATACTACAAGATATAAAACCTTCATAATGAAAACCGTTACCGATACAACCCTTACTGTCTATCAAGGAAAACCTGGAACACATGTTATTATTTTGAGTACTCTGCACCTCAACATAAATATAGGTACTGAAAAAAAAAGTTGCCTGAAACTATTGAATTTTACAATAGGTACAACAAAATTTAGTGTAAACATCAGCGATCAAATGGCACGCAAGAACACCGTAAGAGCTGGAAGTCGGGGATGGCCAGTCATGTATTTTACAATTTACTTGATTTAGTAGCTATAAACTCGTAGATTCTTTATCAAAAAGTTACTAGGAATAAAAAATTCTCGTCACGATCATTCATCATTCAACTACTGAGCGTACTACGTGAAAAGTATGTGAAAAAAATCCACTTCAACTATGACACAGCATCAAGAAACTAATTCTAAAACAAGTGTACCATCTACTAAAAACAATAAGAGGCGGTAATGTCAAATCAACAGTAATTGTAAAAAAAAATATATATGTGAAAACTGCATTATCTCTAAAAAACCTGTTTGTGGAAAATGTAGAAAAAAGTTTAAAAACTATTAGATACTTGCTACAAATGTTACTCAATTTAATGCAAATACATTTATATTATTTTTATTTTATTTTAATGCAAAATATGCAATAATTTCATAAGTATTCTGACTTAATCTCTAGTACCGTCAAATTGACCGCTGCGGTCTTTGAAGGTATAGCATGAAGCCTGGCCCTTCTAGTGTTAACAGAGAACATGCATGATTTTTTCTTTCTATCAAAACGATTGCTCCTCCTCATTTTCTGTATGTAAAATTTTATCCTTTATTTTACTTTGTAGCCACGCTCGAGGCGCACAGCAATTGATATTTAAATAGCTTAACCCGTTGAGCGTCCGCGTTCCTTATCCTTATGCATGCAAGAAATTGCATTTATTTGGCCATTGGCACACGAAAACAAGGATCATTAAAATATAAATAAAACAAATACAGTCAAAATAAAAACAAAACATTAATAATAGATTTTATAAAAGAGAAAGCAGCATGGAGAATTTTTTTATGATCCTCCGGGTGCTCATAAGGACGCTCGAGGGGTTAAAAGGTTAAGTAACAATGCTTACGATTTTTCCTTTTCTAAAAATAATAATTAGTCCGTAAGCTTTCCTAATGCTAAATAAACAATTGACCTGATGGTAAGCAGACACGGTGGCCTCAGTACACCTGCAACACCAGAGGTATTGTGTTTTGCAAAACATCTAGATAATTCTTGTTGTTTCTGGAGGGTAGGGCTCCCCAATATTTATCAAAAAAATTTTTGCTCTCAAGGCCAAAGAGTTAGGATTCGGAAAGAGAATGTTTTTACATAGAATAAGCATATAGACGGACATATTGCGGCAATAGCATGAATGGGAAATTTAGTGAGTTTGTGTCTATGCTCTTGCTTTTTATGGGATAAGATGGTAAATGAGCAGACGGATCACCGGTAAGCAATCGGTGCTGCCTATGGATACCAGAAACACCAGAGGCGTTACAAGTGCATTACCGGCCTTTTGGGAATTAGAAATTTGAGGATTGTTGGGTAAGGTATTGATTTCTAAAGAGTAAAGAGAAGACTGAACAAGAAACTCCATGGTTCATGTTGATGGATCAATTTACTCTCTAGAGTACAACTGTCAGTAATTTTATCATGTAAGTTATTATTCTAAACATGACATCACACCTTTTAAACCTGAAGGGGTAGGCAAAGATGTACAGTATGCCACTTAACTCAGTCATCGGTGACCCCTCTCCACTAAGTATATTATAGACCTTATTTCCAATGTTTAGAGACTACTTTTGTATGAACAAATTTAGGGAATGATATTTCAACAGGTGCTATTGTACAATGCAACACTGATTTTTCACTATTAATGCTATGTTTCCCATGTAATAGGGGGCGAGCCTAGTGACATATACCGGGCACATTTCCGGGCTACTACTGAGATTTTTTTAAAACCCAGTAATACCAGGCAGTCACACTTGCGACCACTCGGCCAGCAAGGCAGTCGTTTCTTTTTATGTCGTAAAATTGTTTGAATTTGCAACAGTATAAGATGTGTTTTGTGTTATCTGTATAATGTAGATAAGCATGTGAGAGAGTTTGTACTTTGAACACATGGCTTAAATACGCGAATCCTACTTATTGGGTACAGTTTTAATCTTATGGGAATGCAGGGCGATTCAAACTCTTACTTGTAGGAGATTAGGAAGTTTTATAGACATTTTAACATGATACTCTTTACCTAAAAGTTGTCTAACTCGAGAATTAGATAATTGACTTATTAGAATCGTGATTAACAACAAGATACAACCGGATTCCATTAAGAATATTCGAATAAATGCATTATAATCGACTCCAGTAAATATTACATCAGCTTTTAAATAAATACGATAACCTCAAATGCTTAGCGGAAACAAAACAAATAAACTTCGATTCTGTTGTCTTTTACTAATTTTGACATTTTCATTCAGTAATTTTTCCAAAATTTAAAAATCATTTCTGTTCATAACCTCAAAATTGATTGCGCAATTATACCTGTATACATTGGCACGGAAAGTCCTCAATGTCGATCCAGAAATAAATTTCGTTAGTTTACCCACTGAATACACGTTTAACGAAGCCATTACAATTCGTATTATGTAATTATTTATAACAATTTCTAAAATAAATTCACATAAAAAGAGGTTAGGCTGCAATTCTGACTGAATTCTTATCTGTCAAGTTTTTTTTTAATTCCTCTTTGACTGACACTACTGACAGACGCGAGACGGTCAAGGTGATGACAGATGAGTTTGGATATCAAGTTGGAGAAGTGGGATGATGTTTGGGTTATGAAATATTTAAGGCTATTAACAGATCTTAGATCAAATTCAAATTGAAATTGATTAATCACTTCTTTTATATTGCGCAACATGTTACCAAACTTCAGAAACTTCAAAGCAAAGCATCAATAACGATAGTAGCAATGCAAGTTGGAATAGAGCATGAACTGAACAGAATTTCTTTCATTAATTTCGTGTCCTAGAAATCAAAATATTCATGCAATGTATCCGAACTAAAAAGTGAAGGTTACGTCAAATTCGAATAAATGCGTCAAATCAGCTGTTAACTGTCAAAATTTACAAGTATTTTGTGTCTTTACAAAAAGCACATGAACATGATTGCATCATCCGTAAATCCACTATCCCATGTATCTGTTTCCGTTGACGTCATAAAGCGTGTCTCTCATCCACGAGACATTGCTTAGAACTTTGGAAAAATCAGTGTTTTCACAATCAGTGTGTTTCGGGCGGCGGTCGAGTGCGCGCGTAAAATTCAAACATGGCGAATTTAGCCGTATTTGATTTCGATCGTACTATTGTTGACGATGATTCGGACGCGACAATAATAAATAGATTGAGAGAAAAGAAGCCGCCGCCTGAATGGGAAGCTGGAAACCACGATTGGACTCCATACATGAGCGATGTAAGGGATTTTTAAAACATCTGCACTTAGCTGTATATTTCCTTGCCTTTGCACCTAGCTTTTGCATGTTTGGTTAAAAAAAGTTATCTAGATGTCTATGCAAGTATTTTTTTTTATAATTTTTTTATACTTTATCGGCCGACGTACATAATTTTTATCCGTACCTTTATTCATATTTTTGTTATGAGGAATGCCATGAAATTGTAGATTCTTACAATTTTCCAAGAACTTTGTGATACTTGGCATGAGTTTATTTGTTGATATTGGCACTGTCTTATCGAAAGATACCTACTACCAATAGTATTCGTGATATTTCCGTGGTATTATTATTGTCGTGTTACTAGCGAAGATGAAAGAGATTTAGTATAAAATACTTACTACTAGAAGTAATTTCGAATACAGTTTATGTAATCAGAGAGATGGTCGAGATACTTTCACTTAAAAGCATTTATAAAATAATCCAAAAGTTCCTACAGACAATGCCGCCATGAAAAAGCCGTCGGCATACAGGAGAAATAACAATGGATTTTTTGTTTGAAGCGCTTCCCCGCGACTTCTTTCGCGCATTAATAAATAATTCTGGATAATTCAAAATCCAAGCAACAATATGAATAGTTTATTTATTTATTTATTTATTTATTTATTTATAAGCACATGTATAATTTTACAGCACAAGCCAAAACATTATACAGTTAAACAATAAAAAAAAAAAAATGTTACTTATTTACTATTTTACACTTACGTAACAGGTATCTTATAAAAATGGAACGATAATTATAATACTTAAAACTAATTCATCAGTCGTCCATCTTCTCGCAAAATCTTACACATTCACGACATACATCCTTCCATCTCGCTGCAAACAAATCACACTCTGGTGCGGAAGCCAGGAAAGCATTGATCATTGTTAATGCTCGAACAAGCGGAGAATTTGCATGCGCGACTGTTCGCGTTACTGGGACAGCCAGTAAGGGGTGCCTACGTGGCCTAAGCTGATGCTTCAGAACTGGGGGCACAAACAACCGTACAACCTGTGCCACCAGCTCCGGACAGTCAGATTGTCCTCGCAGAGTACTACAGGTAGAAATAATTAGAGAGTAATTTCGCCTCACTACCAAAGAATTAAAATTTAACATGCCTAGTAAAAACTTGGTGGGATATAAGAATGGATAGTACCCAAATAGCTTTTTGTACAGAAATCTAAGAAATGCTTTTTGCACTTTCTCCAGCAATAAAGCATAAGTACTCTCGTGAGGATTCCATACAATAGACGCTGTCTCTAGTTTGGTACGAACTAGAGCCATGTACACAAGTTTGATAGCTTTAGGATTATCAAATTCACGCATATTGCGGATAACGAAACCTAATCTGCGATAAGAGTCAATTGTAAGTAACCTCATATGTTCGTGAAAGTTTAGTCGAGGGTCGAAGACTACACCCAAGTCCTTTACAGTGTGGACTCGATTTATGAGCTCTGACCCCAAAAAGTATTTAACATGCAAAGGATTATGTGCTCGACTAAAGGACATTACATTACACTTGGCTGTATTAAAATGGAGTTTATTTTCATTGCTCCATTGGTACAAAGCATCAATATCATTCTGTAAGGTATCTGCATCTGCAAAATTTTTTACCCCATAAATAAGTTTAAGATCATCAGCATACAATAAACACCTCGCATGCTTGAGACAAGATTCTAGGTCATTCACCATCAATCCAAACAGCAAAGGGCCCAATACGGAACCCTGACTTACACCGGAGCGAGTGTGATAAGGTGGAGAAACAAAACAACCATGTCTTACATATTGTTGACGATCACGGAGGTAGTTTGAGAAAAATTTAAGTAATTGCGGTGAGAAACCTATATCATTGAGTTTACCAAGTAATATATCGTTATCCACACGGTCAAAGGCCTTTTTGAAATCAAAATAAATTACATCCACTTGAATATTTTTATCTAAGTGTTGCGAAATAATGTCTACTACTGTTAGGAGATTAGTACTTACAGAGCGGTTAAATCTGAATCCGTGTTGTGAATCACATAAATGTGGTTGTATTTGTAAACTAATGTGTTTGTGTAAAATCGATTCAAATAGTTTTGGAAGCGCAGAGAGAATTGCTATTGGCCTGTAATTTTCTACTTGAGAATGGTCATTACCTTTGGGTATTGGTTGGACCCGCGAGACTTTCCAACGTTTTGCGTAAATACCAGTTTTCAATGACATGTTAAAAATATGGAGTATGGGAGAGCTTAAATATTCTTTACAACCTTTTATGATATAAGCGGGTATGTTATCAGGGCCTATTGCAGAGTTAGGTTTCAATTTGTTTATACCTGTCTCGACATCACAAATTGTTAATTTATCAACATGTACCAAATTAGCTGTTTTGCTCTGATTATTTTGGTTTTCATGATCAAGATTAGGAATATCAGGTAAAAATACACTAGAGAAAAAACTAGAAAAAGCCTGAGCAGCATCACTACCAACACACTCTTTCCCATCATAACTGACTCTATTTTCAAAACCCCCTCTAACTTTCAGACTATTCATATATTGCCAGAAAGCCTTTGGCTCACGGTTTAGCCTCCATTGTATGCGCTTAATGTATTCATCGTACGCTGTTGACATTTTTTGCTTGATCTTGGTTCTAAGTTCAGAGAAAAGATTGTAAACTATCCGATTTCGAGTAGATTTCCATTGACGATGTAGCTCCGCTTTATATTTAATGTCATTTATTAAGTCAAATGTAAACCAAATCGGGTAACGTCTACTTGGTTTCCTAGACCTTTTCTTTTTTGGGACACATTCGTCGAAGATGGTGTAGAGAACATCATAAAAACAGTCCACAGCTGTGTCAACGTCGCTAGCTTCAAAAACCTCCTGCCATGATGCCTCAGCGATAAGGTGGTACATATGCTCATAATTCCCTTTCGAAAAGTTCCAGTCTTTTTCTACATCAATATTACTAGGATGGGCTTTCTCGATGCTATGGTATTTTAATTGGTTAATCGAGCTAAATACTACCTCCAACGGAGGGTGGTAGGCGTCACGCTTCGGAACAAGCCCGCCGCCATCCAATTCTGTTACTTCAACACGATCAATGCAGTCCGACACCAACACTACATCCAATTGTCCTCCATAAGCATTCTTCACCTCATTCCTCTCTTTCAGTCCACTAACAGTAAGGAAATAACAATAGTAACTTAAAATATTACTAGACGTATAAACAGGATTTAAATTCAAATCACCGACAATAATCACTTCACTTTTAAGAGAGTCAATGAACGATTCCACTTTTAGAAACCAACTCATATACAATTCATCTGACGCTCTAGGGTGAATATACACAACACAGATGTAGAAAGAAGTATGGTCCGTGACACATCGTGCCCACAGGTCTTCACCGTTTGTGGTCTCTAAATCACAACATCGCGTTACTTTAACCCCAGGCCGTGCGACAAGCATCACACCACCACCAGCACCCGTGACGCGGTCGCGACGAAGAACACTCCACCCATTGCTCGTCAGTTCAGAGTCAAGCACTGAGCTAGTTAAAAATGTTTCAGTTACAGCTATAGCATCGCAATCGATCATCAGCAAATTCTGTCTAAGGAAGTTTAACTTTGTGTTTAGGCCTCTTACATTTTGATATATGCAACTGAAAGATTGATTACGTGCTGCGCGAGACGCTGAATTATTATCCTTTATGCAGGATTTTAGTTGGTTGTCTACGAAAAAACCATTCTTTAACACGAGCATTGGTAGGCCAGATATTCGGCGACACACATTTTTCATATAACTCGGGTGAAACGCCAATCTTAAACGACTTGTAGTCACCTTTAGGCTTGAGTTCTTCGACAGTACAACCCCCATCAGGAAACAGTTTTTGTAAATATGTTTGGACTTCATCAGTTCCAGAAACCATATTCCACAAATGAATGTACTTGCGGAATTCTACGGCTTTAAGTGTAGTAACTTCTGGTCCCGCAGTTCCGCGAAGAGAACTGACACGTCCAGATTTCTTGTTCTGTACCTTCGTCCACTCATCAGCAGAGTTGGGATTAATAGTAGTTGTTGAGAGTACCACTGGAGCTTGTATTTCGTGCTGCTGACTCATTTGGATACAATCTTCGGGTGGTGTTGATATCATGGGGGGCTGAGGTGTTTTTTCTTGTCGATCGCGCAAATCAGTCACATTGGCATTGACAGATGAGTTTCCAGATGTTTTCCCAGGTGAAATTTTTTTAGATTTAGATTTCACCTTAGACTTCGGCTTCGACTGTAGCTTAGTTTTTAAGATGGGTACTTGAGTATTATTAACAGTACTACTTTCAGCTACAGCCTGAACGGTATTATATGGAGAAGCCAGGCGGCAATTGTGGCAGTCTGACGTGTGTTCAAGTTTACTAAGTTTTTCATTACATTCCTGAATCTGCTTAGAACATAGCGCCAATGCTGTATGATACTTATCTATGGTTGATACAGCATCAGTTAGCCGTTCTGATAGTATATTTATATGTTCGCGAAGGAGCTGCATCTCCATTTCCGGAAAATGAGAAGAGTCGGCTGGAGATCGACACACAGGAAGATTACTTTTATTTCGTGCAGATATATATTTTTGTGATATTGGTGTTTTTAGCGGGATAGGAATATTATCATTACAGCCACCTTTCTTAGCAGCGCAGCTACATTCGGGGCAAATCCATGCAGACCTTTCTGTTAGCGTAAGCTCCCGATTATTACATAGGTAATGATATACTTTCCCACACGTCTCAAGCGTACATTCAAGAAAAGCATCCCCAGACAATAACTCCTTATAACATGCAGCGCAATTCATGGTCTCAGCTTTGTAAGACAACAAATTCAGCAACTTCAATAACAGCAACAAATAAATTATAATCCAGTAAAGCGAAGGTAATTAACGACGGCCAGCGAGCGGGTCGAGCGGGCGACCGATGCACATACCTGGGTTGCGGGTTGCGGGGCGTGCGTGCACAG